TCCTCAAGCAGACAAGAGTTCTTTCTTCCACCCTGGACATTCCACAGATATAGAAACCTCACTTGCCTAGTTTTAAATAAACACCTCAACCTCTGAGGATGCCTGGCATATGTGTGGGCGAAACATCATCAGAGAATGCTTCTGCAACATGGCCATAAACTATTAATTTGTAAAACTCTGGACCTTATTTTAAATCCTGTTTATCAAAGACACTGAAAAGAACTATTGATATCCGTTTAAGGCACATGACCAAAGGAAAGCTTTCAAGTGCTTCTAATTATCTATAATAAAAATAATTGTCTAAATTCATATTATTAAAATAGATGGATGAATTGATCTGAATTTATTTAGATCAACTTATTTAGCATTACATTTAAATAAAGCAGTTTTGTAATGCCTTGTCTGTACTCATTATCAGACCATGGATAAACCTAACTTAAGGAAGGCCACCATCAAACACCACTTACTGCCAGAATTATTACCTGACCAATTAATTATCATACCAGACACAGGAAAGATCAAACTCTTACACTCACAGTGAAACAACTTTTAGTGTTGAAAATCGTTCAACCATATTTAAACATTGAGAAATTCTTCAAGTTAAAGGAGCCCAATGCATGAGGAAATGTCATAATCTGAAGATCAAGCTAAAGCAATCCTTAGAGGTCAAATCATTAACAGATTTGGGGGGGGGTGTCCAGCATATTCTCATGATGGGGGCAGAAGAGCGAACTACATTATATTGTCAAGTAGAAGGGCTACGAAAGTATTCCAAACAAAACAGAAATGGTTGCATTAAAAGGTGCATGGATCCCAGTCTTCGAACTCCATAAATCACTGATTTATCCAGAGAAGTGAGGCTCCAGAGTAATTCCAACCTCCCCCCTCCCTCTCAAAGCCCCCCCCCCCCCCCCAGCTGCAACGTGGCTTGCTCCTGTTGGCTTGGAAGCAACAACGAGTTGGAAGCCAACCCGGCTGAAGTCCACAAAGAAACCATCTGCCTTGTGAAAAGAATGCCCTGCTTGGAAGGAAAGGGGAGGCAACCCAAGCCTCTCCTCTCTTGAAGAGCCAGCCACTGAGGGACGAACACACACGCAGCGAGAGAGATAAGCACAAACCCTCTTCTTGTGTGAAGAGGCTGCCTCCTAGCCTGGGAGAGTGGCCAGGGCAGCGCCTCCCCTTGTGTCCGGGTCTGGATGGCAGGGAGGTGGAAAGCGGAAGCAGGAGGGAAGCTGACACACTCGAGAGTCATAGATTCGTTAGAATAGACCTCCAGAACCACCCAGTCCAACCTACTGCTATGTAGGAATAGCATAAGGCTCATTTGGCAAGGAAGTGCATGCTGAGCAATGTCCACAGCACCATAGGGGGAAGCTAGCTATGTTTGGAGTATTTACATGATGTCATGGGAAGCACCACCAAGTCCAGCCCCCAGCCACAAAGGAATGGAGAAGGAGTACCTAGTCGAATGTTTTCCAAACTGTGTGTTAGGACATGTCTGTGTAGGTGTGTCAAGGGAACATAGCAAGAAACCTCCGAGTCTATGTAAAATGAGGAATAAATCTCATATATATATATATATATATATATATATATATATATATATATACACACACACACACACACACACACACACACACATACACACACATACATACACACACATACACACACGCGTAAATGAAAGGTTTTCATGAGATATGTTGTGCCTCATCTATTTTGCTCTAGCAGTTATGCATCTGTATCTCTTGTAAGGGGTTGGATTTGATATCCCGTTTGCTAGTAAAACTGTATCATGAAATGATGTGTGTCTAAAAAGTGTGTCACAATGTTTAGAAAGCTCTGATCTAGTCACAAGATGGCTGCGTGAACACAGCAGGGGGCAAAAGCCCTGGCAACACAACTTGAAGGGAAGGAGAAAGATACAACCCTCATGTGGGTCTTTGCAAGAGGCCCCAAGGGTCGCCTTGTCCCATTCTCTGTCATGTAGGAAAGGGATTAAGGAACATCTGGCCAAAAGGGGGGAGTCGAGTCCAGCAAGGAGTGACAGCAGAACTTGAAGGGAGGGGGAAAGCTAACCATAGGAGTCTTGGCAAGATATAATAGATGTGTGAGGTTGAAAGACACCCGAAGGGTCATCCAGACCAACCCCATTCCTACATGCAGGGATGGAGTAAGGAACACCTAAGGAGGAGGTGAGCACAGAATATGGCAAGATATGAACCTTGGCACCATGCTTCGAAGGGAAGAAGAAATCTAATGATGGGTTTCTGTGAATTTTCTAGGCTGTACGGCCATTTCCAGAAGCATTCTCTCCTGACGTTTCATCCACATCTAGGCCAGGCATCCTCAGAAGTTGTGAGGTCTGTTGGAAACTAGGCAAGTGAGGTTTATATGTCTGTGGAATGATGTTCAGGGTGGGAGAAAGAACTCTGATTGAGGCAGCTGTGAATGTTGCAATTTGGCCATCTTAATTAGCATTTAATGGCCTTGCAGTTTCAAAGCCTGGCTGGTTGCTGCCTGGGGAATCCTTTGTTGGGAGATGTTAGCTGGCCCTCGATTCTTGTCTGGAGTTCCCCTACTTTTTGCAACATTCATACTTTCCTCAAACAGACAAGAATTCTTTTCTCCACCCTGGACATTCTACAGATATATAAACCACACTTGCCTAGTTTCTAAAAGACCCCTCAACCTCTGAGGATGCCTGCCATAGATGTGGGCAAAACATCAGGAGAGAATGCTTCTGGAACATGGCCATCAAACCTGGAAAACTCCCAGCAACCCAGTAATTCCAGCCATGAAAGCCTTCGACAAGAAATCATAAATCTTGGCAAGTCATAGAAGAGACTACCTGGGCCAACCAGTCCAACCCCATTCTGCCACACAATGAAAGCTCTCTGAAGAGAGGGTCATCCGGCTTTAAAAAAAAAAAACAAACCTCTAGAGGAGGAGCTTCTACCACACTACGGAGCTTCTATCACACGAGGAAGTTCTTCCAAGGGGTTAGGTAAAATATGTTTCCCTGCCTTTTAACTCCTCCACATTGTCCAGAGCAGGCATGAGCAAACTTGGGCCCTCCCTTAAGCGGCTGAGGAGGGAAAGGAAGGGGCCTGAGGCTGTTAGGAATGGTGGGAGCTGAAGTCCAAAACGCCTGGAGGGAGGGCCCAAGTTTGCCCAGGCGTGATCCAGAGGCAGCAGAGCACAAGCCGGCCCCTTCCTCACAGAGACCTCCTTTCGGGTATTTCATACATGGAAGCAGCACGCAGCACTTCCTCCCCGCGAGAGAGGGAGGGAGAGAGGCAGACCTGGTTCGCCCAAGGCGAAGAAGGCGCAACAGCCTGGCTGGGTTTCAGCCGGGAAGGAGCTCCTCGTGACGCCCATTTCCACAATACACACGCATACACATTCACGGGGACCCTGTTCCCACCGAAGAAGAAGCAGTCACGAGGCGCCCCAGTTTCCCCAAAGAGGACATCCCCTCACGCCTCCGACAGGAAGGAAGGGGGGGGGGGAGACAGCATGGAAGGAGGAAAGGGAAGAGGAAGTAGCGAGGAGACTGAAGGAACCGAGGAAGGAAGAGAGGGAAAGGGAAGGGAGTCCTCCATGGAAGGAGAAAGGAGTGAATCTGACTCAAAGAAAGAGCCTCGGCAGGAAGGAAAGGAGGATGGGAGGGAGAGGCAGCATGGAGGGAGGAAAGGGGAAAGGGAAGAGGAAGCAGCGAGGAGACTGAAGGAACCGAGGAAGAGAGGGAGGGAGGAAGAGAGGGAGGGAGGAAGAGAGGGAAAGGAGGAAAGGGAAGGGAGTCCTCCATGGAAGGAGAAAGGCGAAGGAGTGAGTCTGACTTAAGGAAAGAGCCTACGAAGGTAGGAAGAGGCAGCATGGAGGGAGGAAAGGGAAGAGGAAGCAGCAAGGAGACTGAAGGAACCAAGGAAGAGAGGAAAAGGAGGAAAGGGAGTCATCCGTGGAAGGAGAAAGGCGAAGGAGTGAGGAGTCTGAGGTAAAGGAAAGAGCCTCGGCAGGAAGGAAGGAAAGCCGGAAGGAAGAAGGGAGGCAGCATGGAGGGAGGAAAGGGCAAAGGAAGCAGCCAGCAGACTGAAGGAACTGAGGAAGGAAGGGGTGAGGAGCCTGAGGTAAACGAAAGAGCCTCGAAAGGAAGGAAAACAGGAAGGAAGGAGGCAACATAGAAGAAGGAAAGGGAAGAGGAAGCAGCGTGGAGCCTGAAGGAGCCAAGGAAGGAAGTGAGGAAAGGGAGTCTTCCATGGAAGGAGAAAGAGGAAGGAGCGAGGAGCCTGAGGTAAACGAAAGAGCCTCGGAAGGAAGGAATGCAAGAAGGAAGGAAGGAAGGAGGCAGCATGGAAGGAAGGGAAGAGGAAGCAGCGAGGAGACTGAGGAAGCCATGGAAGAGAGGAAGGAAAGAAGGAAAGGGAAGGAAATCCTCCATGAAAGGCGAAAGAGGAAAAGGCAAGGAGCCTGAGAGCCTCGGCAGGAAGGAAGGGGCAAAAGGAAGGAAGGAAGGAGGCAGCATGGAAGGAGAAAAGAAATAAGAGAGGAAAAGGAGGAAAGGGAAGGAAATCCTCCATGAAAGGCGAAAGAGGCGAGGAGCCTGAGGTACTTGAAAGAGCCTTGGCAGGAAGGAAGGAAGGAAGGAAGGAAGGAAGGAAGGAAGGAAGGAAGGAGGCAGGATGGAAAGAGGAAATGGAAGAAGCAGCAGCGAGGAGACTGAGGAAGCCGAGGAAGGAAGGAAAGAAGAGAGAGAGGAAGGAAGGAAGGAAGGAAGGAAGGAAGAGAGGAAAGGGAAGGGAGTCCTCCATGACAGGAGAAAGGCGAAGGAGGGAGAGGGAGAGGAATGGGCGAGGAGCCTGAGGGAAAAGAAGGAGCCTCGGCAGGAAGGAAGGCATGCAGGCAGGCAAACGGGGGAGCCCTGAGGAGAAGGTCCAGCGAGGCTTCTCCCCGGCTGAGGGCGAAGGGAAGCCGCCCCCCCCCCCCCGCCTCCTCCTCACCTTCCTTCCTCCGCCGGCGAGGGCGGCGCTGCCCCCGGAGTACATGTAGTAGGCGATGCCGAGCACCCAGAGGAAGGCGAAGCAGAGCAGCAGCCGAGACTTGCGCCGCATCCTCCCGCCCGCCCAGTGCTGCAGCCGCGGCACCAGCCGCCGCCAGGCCAGCAGGAAAGGGGCGGCAGGCGATGCCGCTGCCGCCTCCACCGCCCTCCCTCCCTCCCTCCCGCCTGCCTGCCTGCCTGCCTGCCTCCTCCTCCTCCCCCTCCGCCGCCGCACAAGGGTCAAGGGGCAGAGGGTGCGCGCCCACCCTCTGGCCAATCGCCGGCCGCCAAGCGCCGCGCGGGGCGGAGCTCAGCCGCGCCGTCGCCATGGTTGCAGCACGCGGGGCCTCCTGGGGTCCCTCTTCCTTTCATGCCTCTCGGTCCTTTAGCGCTGCTTCAACCACAGCTAGGCCTCTTCCGAGAGCTGGGAGCCCGGGTGGCAGCCGAGGCCGGCGCCCTGCCTTCCAGCCTCAGGGGACTTCCAGCCTCAGGGGCCTACCTTCCCAGGCTTCCCGTCCCATAGAACCCTCTCCGCAGAAGGGACTTGCCTCGAAGTAAAGGCGTGTGGAGCGGGAGGTTGGAAGGCCTCTCCTTTCTTCATGGCAGGCGTGGGAAAGGTATGTCTCACTGGAGGAGGAAGAGCTGGCGTTCAGGCTGCACTTTCGGCAGCTCTAGTCCTGTAGAGTTTTGTTTTTTGATGTATTTCATTATTAGAGTGGATTTCAAAAGACTTTTACATACCTCAATCAGCAAGTGGAGTGGTGATAAAGTAGGAAATAATAATAATAATAAACATTTGATTTTGCAGTAACTTATTTAAGCATAGTTATTATCAAACATCTCACTTCTGCCCTCATCACACTAGAGAAAAAATCAACTTAAAATCCAGTTTCTACCTCCTGCAGAATTCTGGGGTTTGTAGTTTAGTAGTTTAAGGAGCTGGGCATGTTTAGCCTGCAGAAGAGAAGGCTGAGAGAAGATATTATAGCCATGTATAAATATGTGAGAGGAAGCCACAGGGAGGAGGGAGCAAGCTTGTTTTCTGCTTCCTTGGAGACTAGGACGCAGAACAATGGCTTCAAACTACAAGAGAGGAGATTCCATCTGAACATGAGGAAGAACTTCCTAACTGTGAGAGCCATTCAGCAGTGGAACTCTCTGCCCAGAGTGTGATGGAGGCTCCTCCTTTGGAAGCTTTTAAACAGAGGCTGGATGGCCATCTGTCAAGGGTGCTTTGAATGCAATGTTCCTGCTTCTTGGCAGGGGGTTGGACTGGATGGCCCATGAGGTCTCTTCCAACTCTTTGATTCTATGATTCTATGAATGCTGTTAAAGGCTCCTCCCTAAACTACAAACCCCAGAATTCTGCAGGAGGTAGAAACTGGATTTGAAGTGGTTTTTTTCTCTAGTGTGATATAGTGTTACCTACCTCACACACATACCTCACACACAGTCACCTACGGATGTGAGAGCTGGACCATAGGGAAGGCTGAGTGAAGGAAGATGCTTTTGAACTGTGGTGCTGGAGAAAAGTTCTGAGAGTGCCTTGGACTGCGAGAAGATCCAACCAGTCCATACTTCAAGAAATAAAGCCTGACTTCTCATTGGAGGGAAGAATACTAGAGGCAGAGATGAAGTACTGTGGCCACATCATGAGAAGAAAGGAAAGCTTAGAAAAGACAATTATGCTGGGGAAAAGGAAGAGGGAGTGACCAAGGGCAAGATGGATGGATGGTATCCTTGAAGTGACTGGATTGACCTTGAAGGAGCTGGGGGTGGTGACAGCTGACAGGGAGCTCTAGCGTGGTCCATGAAGTCATGAAGTCGGAAACGAATGAACAACAACAACTTCACACACTGCAAAAGCAACAGGGATTCCTTCCCTTACGCCAGTGGTTCTCAACCTATGGGTCCCCAGATGTTTTGGCCTTCAACTCCCAGAAATCCTAACAGCTGGTAAACTGGCTGGGATTTCTGGGAGTTGTAGGCCAAACCACCTGGGGACCCACAGATTGAGAACCACTGCCTTACACCACAAATAAATAATAGCTCTTCCCTCCAAAACAGCGAGTAAAGCTTAGAAAATGTTCTGGTTTTAAAAAATAATAATTACAATTTGCACAATCTAGCAACCAGCATGCTCAAATGACCACACTGGCTTTCCAAACTTGGTTGGACAGGTGGAATTTTTCAAAGCTTTGGCAGTGAATTAACATCATGAAAATGGGGTGTAGTATGATTTCTTAAAAGTTTTCGGGCATGACTTTCCCCTATACACTTCTCTGCAAATCTGTGGGTATAAAAAGACTGTATAATAAAAGTAAAACTAGCTGGCCAAGTTTGGTCTGCAAACCTCAATAGGCATATGTAGGCTAGTTATTTGATTTGCATTTTGTTGCTACTTTATGTCAATTCTGTATCTGTGTTTGATGCAAGTTTTTAAAAATATTTTTGTGTTTTTATTGAAGTATTTATTGTACATATTATATGTTCATATGTTTTTGACTTTGTTGTACTGTACCCTGCCTCAAACCATCAGGAGAAGCAGGTAATAAATAAAATTATTATTATTATTATTATTATTATTATTATTATGTCATTGCCCCGTGTTTCTGGTTTTTTAATTAATTTACATATCAATTTTAAACTACCAAGTATACACATTTACCCAAAAATTATAAAATAATAACAACAATAATGACACACACAACAATATAAACAAACCCCACCTTTCCCTACATCTATGTTCAACTAGATCAGTGGTTCCCAACCTGTTTTGACTTTATCCAGCCTTAGCCCAACAAAATCTCCCAAGGACTCTCTCCAACTGAAGATGTTTAATTCAACAAACCCAAGTTCACATAATGCTGGCATTTTCACCATACCTATGCAAAATAACCCCATTGCCTTCCCAGTTTGCTGAGCTCCATGGAGTCTGGAGAACATTTTTTCCTTCTCTCGGATAATATTTTACAAAATGGCTCCTTAATTTTGTTGTCATGTTTAAGGTAACTCAGCATCCACATTTAATGCAGTTTAATAATTCTGAAATAAACAATAGACTTGGTCCCTTTTCATGTTTTAATCCACTCCTGTCTTGCACTCCAAAAAATAAACTAACAACACATATCCATTCCACACTATATATATTCACTCCCCCTCTCTCCCTATCTAATCTTTTCTTTTCTTTTTTTATCAGACACGACTTGAACAGGGACCACTTTGACCAGGGACTACACTCCAACATTTTGGAGTTTTTGATCAACTTTTCATTCAGTTTGCTTATTTGGGATGCTGATTCAGAAAATTGCATTGGATAGACCACATCAGCTCTAGTTTCTGATACAGAGCATATGCTGTCTAGTAGTCCCTATCTGCTCACCCACAGAAAACCCTATTTAATAATCTAGAGCTGATGTAGTAATAACCTTTTGTGGGTAGTCAGCCTCTCCTCCTGATATCCTTGTTTTCCAGTTTTCCAGGCCCCAATTGTTGTTCCATTACTGATTCTACCTTATTTATTATAAAATTAAAATATCTTAATTTATAATAAAATTAAAATCTTTATATAGAATTCTAATACCAAATTGGTCATATAATTTAATTGTATGTGTCTTTTAAAAAACTGGAGTTATTTCTGCCCTCATTTTAATAGAATCATAGAGTTGGAGGAGACCTCATGGCCATCCAGTCCAAACCCCTGCCAAGAAGCAGGAAAATTGCTTTCAAAGCAACCCCAACAGATGGCCATTCGGCTTCTGTTTAAAAGCCTCCAAAGAAGGAGTCGCCACCACACTCCAGGGCAGAGAGTTCCCCTTCTGAACAGCTCTCACAGTCAGGAAGTTCAGTCACTAAACTCAATTTTCCTTAAATATTTCTGCAGTCTTCTCTTCAAACAAAATTAGTAATTTGTCAATTTCTATGGAATTTTAGGTTTTCATAGCCCACTCTATTTGCATTGATGTCTTTTCCCAAAGTTTTGTTAATATAGCCCTAGCTTCTGTGAGTTGAAAACCTGGTCCCACCATTCAGCAAATGGAAGAGACTTCTGATCATTCTCTGTTCTTGAAAGAGAGCTGTGGCGACTAAAGAAGAAATCCAGCCATCTATGGCCTTGAGGTGTGCCTTGCTGCTTTGTCCCATTGCAGTATTGAACCAAGCTTGTGTAATCAGTTTCTGTTTATATAGTGGAGGGGACACTGTTTTGTTCTTTGGCTCAGACAATAGAAAGTATCATGCATTCATTCCTTGCTTTTAAAAAAGGAGACAGGACCCAATGATACATTTAAATGTTACAACAGCAATATTAGTTTTAATGTATTTTACAGACAAAGAATATTACAATTCAATGCAGTATTATTAATATTGGTTGAATTTGGGAGCAACTTGATGATTTTTAAGGGGTGGGGGTGTTAAAAAAGTAAAACCAACAGTAATACATTAGCAGTATACTGTGTGTAAGAATTCATGTCATGTAAATAATGTATTGCACTTACAACAATGCTTCCAATTTCTGATTTAGGTCTGTTTTTTCTTTTACTTTCAAGTATATTTCTAATACTTGAACAGAGCAATCCTGTTCTGATGTGTGGCAATGGAGCATGATGCAGTGAAGAAATATATATACTAGCGATGCCCTTGTACTTACAGTAGGCAATACACCAAAACAAGAATGTTCACTATCTGCAAATCACATAAACAATGCATGAGGTTTTCTAGTGCCAATGGATGACATGGGTCCATAGTTAGCTAGATACAGTATACAGCTAGATGGGTGAATGGGCTGGACAGCAACATATGTTTCCTATGGGATGTACTGATAGCTATGCACTTTGGGAATGAATGGAAAAGGAAATGAATAAGCACCATTACGAGCATTTGTTGTTGTTATGGAAATCAGCAAGCATTCAGCGAATGAGTACTGAATAAAAATTCACACATTGGTTTCATTTGTTTAATTCCCTATACAAAAAGGTTACGAACAGGAAGAATGAAAACAGAACAAAGAAACAGACAAATCTCACATGTTGTTGTATATAAAATGAAACCTTTTATCCTCTCCAAATTTTGGTGGAACTGATTGTTTTGAAGGAGGTGGAGCCAGGATAGATCTGAATGCTGGACTAGGTCAGTGGGACACTAGCGTTCAAATTTCCA